AAAAAAAAAAATTGTGACTTAAATGGAAAAAAATACATTAATATTAACATTGATACATTATACAACATAGATTCATAATTACAATTTACATATATTTATTTATTTATTTTTTTCTGTTAAGGCGGGTCAGCCCGCGGCCCGCGCGGGTTGGCCCGTTTAGGCCCGCTCCCCAGCGGGCCTCTAATATCCCAGCCAACCCACTCTTTTTGCGGGGCGGGCGGGTGATACGGAAGTGGTCCGATCCTTCATCAGCGGGCCAGCCCGCGGGCCCAGGCCCGTTTTGACATCTCTATGTGCAACAACCTATCAAATATTAAAAAATACAAATAGACCCCATATTTTTTAATTTTTAATACTAGCACCACAAACTAAATAAATCTGTACTTTCACGCCATCTCCTAACAATCCAAAATTAGAACTCGCAATCGTCGTTGTCTCTGCAAGGTAGCGCCGTTGCCGTCCTCGTCTCTTTGGCCGGTCACCCTCGTCGGAATGGAGTCTCTCGCAGTGAAGGTCGGTTTAGAGGTTCGGAGGGTGGTTTCACGGACTCGAAGCGGCGGCGTTTCTCCGTGTTGCAGGCGTATCTGGTGGAGGCTACAAGTTGCGACGTTGATGGTTGGGTTGTTGGAATCGGTGGTGGTGGGGTTGTTGACGGGCTGCCGGCTGGTAGGTGATGATGGTGGCGGGTTGTGGTAGATGCAGGGCTGATGTTGACGGCGACTTGATCGGCTTTGATTATCGGGCGGCGGTGCTCTGATGGACTGGCAGCGTCGCTTCAACGGTCGGGTGGCGGTGCTTGATTGGACATACTTTGAATAGCGGCGCCGACTGGCTATGTCGGAATCCGTTCTGGCAGTTGGTGGCGACGGGACCGACAGGGCTGTTGCGACGACGGTTTGGTGGCGAAAGTCGGAGGTTGCCGGCGGCGATGATGTGTTGTGTGTGTTACTGGTACATTTGTGTGTGTAGAAAGTGAACTGTGCGTGTATTTTGTGAAAGAGAGAGTTGGTGGGACCCACAAGGTAGGTGATGGGTGGGAAGGAATTGTGTGAGATGAAATAAATGTTCTTATTGAGTGGTCAAACATGTATATCCACCCACAGTATGACCACTTATTTACTAAAATGTCATAAGATGTTTGACTTCCTTATTTAATGTTTGACTCCATCAAAATCATTGATATGTTAAATTTAATGGTCAAGAATTATTTTTATTTCTTTCACTATCTACCATTCTCATATGATTCATTCTCTCTCTATATACTAGTATTTTACCTGTGCACATGCACAAATGTAATTAAAATTTTATATATTATATATCATATATATATATAAATTTAAAAGCCATAAATTAGATAATAAACATATCACAGTTATAAATTTTATCATTGTTATAATGACCATATAAATATAAACTATTTAACCTGCATATTCTTTAAATTTAGACAATCATAATCGATTATGATAATTAATTTGATAAAAAATTTTGAAATTATTATTGTAGCATTTGTGTTCAAATCATTAAAAAAGTTTGGTCATGCCATAAAAGGTAATTAATTATAATTGTAATAAAAGAAACTTGCTTAATGGGATGAAAAAGAAAATAACATTTTTAAATATATAGTTTTAAAAAGTTTTAGAATAGAATAACATTTAATGTGCATTTATTATAAGTTAATAGTAGCAATTATTATATAATAAAATAAGTAAAAAAAATATAATTGTAATTAATGCAAAAGTAACGGAAAAAGGCGGGAAAACGAAAAGAGTTTTATTAATTGCTATTAGCCAGCAATTATATATATATATATATATATATAGATATATATATTTAGATTTTTCTATTATATTATATAATAATTAATACTAATACCAACTAATTATAATTTTCAATAAATATAAATTACATAATTATAAACAATTGTTTCATGTTTTTTATTTTAACATCAATATTATCTTTTTCTTTTGTATCTCATGAAAAAATTTATTTAAAAGCAATTAGTAAATTATTTTAATAACATAGTCAGACAACTTTAGAATCTTATAAACAATTGTTTTTGTAATAATAATAATAATAATAATAATAATAATAATCAAAATTTTATTATCAAATGATAACAACAATTGTTCATAATAATAAACAATCGTTAATTTATTTTTCTTAATGATCAAATTTGAAAATGTAATATATTCATTATCTAGAATTTTAATATTAATTTCTCAAATATTACTTATAATATTTTATGTACATTTGTGCATGTGCAAAGGATATTTACTATTAATAAGTAGATAAATGGCGCAACCTTATCTTTAATTCCTACATGGACATAGACTTGTCAAAACGGCCTAGGCCCGCCGCGCTCCGTCGGCTTGGGTTGGTATTTTAAAGGCCCGCCAAAGAGTGGGTCTTAGGGTTTTGGCGGGCCGGGCCAGGCTACTACTTAAAAAAGATAGATTTTTGTTTTTAGACATAAGTTGTTGAGGTCCTATCTTCATTCCTAAAATCTTGGAGCAATGGGAAAGGAAGAGGGGCGACTGCGATAGCGATTCTAGGGGTGAGCAAAATCGAGCCGAAGCTGAAAACTGAACCGAACTGAGCTATTCTGTACGGTTTTTGAAGAGCTCCGTTAACAGTTAGATTTGAATTTTGAAAATACACAAAAATTTTGGTGCCATACAATTTTCTTTCTGAAAGGTGCGATTTTAGCCGAACCTCGCCAAATTTTATAGTGTCATTTAGTTTCACTTTTACATAAACATGCAGCAATTTTATTTTACATTTAAATCTTAAAATAAACTCTTGCTCTAATTTTCCCGCACAAGTTCCACTCTCGAGCTCTCTCAACCTTGCAGGCAGCAGCCCGTTTTCACCCTCACGTCTCAACCCTACTCCGCCACTCTGAACTCCCCGCTCCGCCGCTTGCCGCTCGCCGCTCGCCGCTCGCCGTTGGTTGCTTGCCCTTCGGCGCTCTCAACCCTCACCCACCGACCTCAAGTTCTCAACCCTGCTCTCACCCTCCGGAGTTCCACTGGCTTCCTCAATTTAGGTCAGCTCTCACTCTCTCGATTTTTTTTTCCCTTTTTCATTTCGATTCGTCCTCTTTCTTCAGTTTTTCTTGAGCCCTGAAGGTATTGGATGCTTAATTTGTTAGAATCACCTGTAAATCTTCAGACAATTTATTCCCCTAATTTCAGCCCCAATTTCGAGTGCTGCTGATCACTTGCTTGCTGTTGTTTGAGTGAAGATGACTGCTGTTGTTTTATTTATTTATCAATTTATGGATGTTGACATTATTGTTATGTTATGGATATTGTTTTGAGTGTTGGGCTTAATGTTATGCTGCTGCTTGTTTTCTTCTTTATTGTGGTCGTTTGTTTTATAATGGTCTAATGGGATGCTTATGTCTAGTTTAATTTGCATGGTTTGACATTAATTTGGAGTAAACCTTTTTTAATTTCGGTTAACCGAAAAACCGCACCGAACCAAAATGTTCTGTTTGATTTTTACTTCTATTGCGGTGCGATTCGTGAAGAAGTCCTAAAACTTTGGTTTTTTGTTTAATTTGCATGGTTTGTTTGTTGTCTGCTAGGTTTTTTCTGCTAGCTTTTGTTCTGGTGGACTGTTAGGTTCTTGATTTGGTTGGGTTTGTCTGATTAGTTTAGTATGCTGTTTTTTTTTATTATTATTGGCTCATGTGGTGATTTTTGGCCATGCTTATTTGTTTGGTGTTTGGTGTTTGGAGTAAGCTGAGAGAGAGGAGCCATGGAGCACTTCAAAAGACATCCGAATATAACTAGCGAAAAACGAAATACTTTGGAAGTCCTAGACTACGGATTTGATTTTACAGATACAAACAGTGCCTTGCGGAGTACACGCGAAGTTTTAACGCAAATGGTGGAAGCTCTAATTTTCATCCACAAGAATGATTGTTATCATGTCGGATTACAGAGCTTTAATTTATTCGTGTTCATGGGTGATATTCTCCAAATAGATTTAGGTGGCATCAAAACCAAAGATGGTAAGATTTATTATAGTAATTTCAAATGATTTAATTTACTATTTTGTTTACGATTTACTAACACAAAAATTCTATTTCTATTTTAGATTTATCATTAGGGACTCGAACTCCGGAGAGTGATGTTGCAGATTTATTTCATGCTGTTGCCAAGTTTTTTGGTGGACCCGAAGTGGACCCGAACAACCTTGCATCTGGCCCTATCATGAGGGGACTACCTAACAACCTTGCATCTGGCTTTATCATTAGGGGACTACCTAGGTTTGGTAGTCATGTCTTTCTGAGATCGGCAGCTTCAAAGCATATTTTTGAAGCAGAGGCATTGCATTTACTTAATCATCTTAAGACAACGTGAGTTTACATTGTTGTTTTATAAGCTATAGTATGACATAGTTGTACATCTTATCTTTTGTGTATGTGTGTGTGTTTTTTTTTCTTTTCAGGCCTCCTGCCAACAAAATCTTGAATCACCCGTTCTTCTGGACCTCGGGCAAAAGACTACAATTTTTAGTCGACACGTGGGAATTCGTGAAGTATCTTGAAACGTCGGAGAACCAGACTAATATTAAGTGTCCAACGAAAGCAAATATTGTCACTAAGATTGCTGCCATTACAACTGGCTCGAACCTGACTGATGCACTGCCCCTGGAATTCGCAGAAGACTTGAAGCACAGTACTTCCACAAATTTTCCACCCTACAGTCTTTTGCGTGCCATTAGGAATTGTCGAGTTCACTCTTTCACAGATGGAGGCTTTAAATCAAAGAGTGATCTCACTATGCTTGATAGGGATCCTATGAGGGGATTCGACTTGATGATTTCGGCATTCTGGCCCAACTTTTTTATTGGCATCTATGATGTGAGTCTTCTCAAATATTGTCGCCGCCTTATCTTCCGATTTCTTTCAAGAAGTACCTATTGAAAGATTACAAGATGGATTGAGTTTTGAGTCATCTATAATTTGTTTTGAATACATTGAGAAGGATATATTGGATGAATTAATCTAGACTAATTTTATTTGTTATATGATTTTGTTAAAACAATGAAAGAACTACAACTTGTCTACGTGTTTTGTGTTTATATCTTAACATGTTGCAATACCAAGTGTGGATGAGTGTTTTCAATAGAAAAGCTAGTTTCTGTTTCATTGTGGAATGATAGATGATCATAACAGCATACACACACAGGCGCACACACACAAACCTAAGAATCAAATTATAATAGTGAACACATAGCGCACAGCACACACACAAATTATACTAGTGAACACATAACATCCAGATTATTCAAAAATCCATCAATTGTGTTACATCTCGTCACCATGACAAAAGTACAACTCTCATACAACAATTGTACTTTCGTCCTAATGAATTCACAAACATACATGTATGTCTACTTACTTTTGTTGCATTGCAGGTCCCCTCTACATAATAAGATCACTCAAACTCGAGCCCGCTGCCCTGAGGTCGGAAAACTCGGCTGCCCTGAGGTCGAAAAATTGAGTACTCAAACCCGAGCCCGCTAAGGAACAAAGTACATAAAAGCAATGTTGTCAAAACCGGACCGGACCAGCCGGTTCGCCCGAGAACCGGACACTACACCGGCTCGGTTTAAGGGCTAGAACCGCTAGCCCCGAAACCAGCAAAACATTTGAACTAATATCGCCGCCCACCTGTCCAGTTGGGTTCTTTTGATGTAGATGTTGTATATCCATTTAAGAAGCGAACATTTTTGGTTTTTTTATCCGATGTGGGATGAGTACACAACATAATGGCTTGTCTTATCTGATAGTGGGCCTACTTGCATTCTTTTTTTATATTTACTTTTGCCCAATTTAATGTTGTTTTGGGCCTATTTTTCTTTTGCCAATTTAATTAATGATTGGGCCCTGGCTGACTACATAAGGGCGATTTTATGTAACTGCAAACTATGAATATAAGATTTGAAAAATAGCACCCCCACAAATCATTTAGAAAAGAACGAACATGTTTTATTCTTACAAAATGTGATCATTACATAAACTTACATAAACATGTAGACAAGTTTTTTCCTTTTATTTATTTACAAAAATTTTATTACATACTATAGAATTAATAATAAAAATATATAATAATATATTATACATATAATACAAATAAAAAATTATATATTAAATAAATCGGTTCGACCACTGGTCCGACCATTGATCTATTAAACCGGTAGCTTCACCGGTTCGGTGACCGGTTCAATTTTCAGAACATTGCAAAAAGTAGAGTGTAACATAGTACAAACAATGATATCTTCATTTGCACGCTAATGTTTTTGTTATTTTCAAGCACCATTAGTTGAAATAAATCAAATAAAAAGGAGATTAAAAAAAAAATAAAAGAAGAAGATAGGAAAAACATAAGTTATATACACAAAACACAGTACAATAGTATTACGATCAACATTTAGAGAATGAATAAAAACATCTGGAAATATAAAAGTTGAAGATAATATAATTGTCCATAAAAAATCAAGAAAGTTAGGAGAAATAGAAGGAGATTTAGGGTATGGAATAATTAAGTTTAATATATCATTACAATTTTCTATACCATTATCGACCAAGAAATTACTAACTGCATAGGAATAATGTGTAATTTTCAAGAAAAAAACATTAATGAAATCAAAAGATATACATGTGGTTGTTTGTTATAAAATAGCGCATTAAGTAATAGTAGTTTAAGTATGAATTATCAAAATCAAGAAAGAATATATACAGAAAAAATATTCAATAAAACGAGTACTATTATTAAAAATGAAAGAATCCAAAAGGAATTTTTAAGAGAACACAGTAAGCGATTATTTAGTAATCCTACAAATTTAGGAAAACTAACTGAAAAAAAGTTATTAAAAATTCAAGAAACTGAAGAACCTCATAGTAATAGTAATTTATATTAAAGGGATATAGATATAGAAAAATTAAATAATCAAGTAAATGAGTTAAGCTCATTAATAATATATTTAAATAACAAAATTTAGAATTTTTAATAATAGATATGAGAGATATAAATTTTAAATTATATGAAATAAAAAGAAAGGGAATTAGAGAAGTAGATTATTTAATGGAAAAGACAATTTAATATAAAATATGGAACAAGACGAAAAATAATTAAAACAAATAGATTATAATATACAAAGTTATAAACAAAAGTTTAAAAAGTTAGTAAAAAATATGACCACGCAAAACAATAATATAGAGAATGGTATCAGAGCAAGGCAAACGATTACTAAAAATTTAGAATTCTAACAAAAAAGAATGAGTCTTAGAAATATTTATTTTAATATAAGTCGAGAAATACAAATAGTAAAAACAGATGTAATACGATATACTATTTTATATGAAATTACAAATTTTAAATTAATTCGCCATTCGTTTTCCACTTTAATAAACGTAACGGTAGGCCTGTAACTACATAAAGTACATATTTTTGAGTTTTACCGAGCTTGGGTCGGCTAGGCTCATTAAGTACACGAGCTTTAAGTGAGCCCGGGTTGACTACTCGTTTCGTTTAACAACATAAACCCAAACTCACAGAATCACAATACTGATTGTGCACTTCTCTTGCATGAATAAAGTCTAAGCAGACACATTTTCCACACAATATGTTGCAACAAAACAGCACAAAAGGCCAAAGACCATGAGCAACAATAACCCCACATAGGTTGCTTAATATCTCTTCAATTCGAATAAGAAAATAACATATATCTCCAATTCTTATAAAGAAACTAGTTTGTTACTCAGCACAATCAGTCAGCCCAATTATTGTCATAATTAAGCATGTAGTTAAACTATAATTGCAGCCCAATTATTGTCATAATTAAGCATGTAGTTAAACTATATTTGAGTTATATGCTATGTTGTAAAAGTGTGTTAGTGGTTGATAATATTGATTTTAGTACATACTTATCATGTTTTTATTTGTTCTTATAATATATAACTAAAAGCACGATAGCTGCGACCATTTTTTTTTTTTTTTTTTTTAGCCACGACCATTTTGAAAATATTACTATCGAGAGTAAGCATCGAGTTAAATCTCATTTTGCTTACAATGCCCTACTCCGTAGTCCAAATATAAAAGTCAGGCTACAAGGAACTTCAACTACAATATTATTTCAAATGTCTTAATCCATAGTCCAGAGATAGAAGTTCGACAACACTAAAATTCAACTACAATATAACTTGAAATTACTTGTTGGTTCTTGACGTTAACTTATTTAGTGCTAAGTTGCACTGGGAACACATTAGATTTAACTCTATGAAGAATGTGTACCTTTTGGAACGGAACATAAAATTATATATAGAATTTGGGTCGTCAAGCTCCCGGTCTAAATCTTCTCATGAGCTTGAATTATTTTATAGTGAAAGATACAGTGGTAATTCATCTTTTAGAGTAAAAACCTATGATTCCATGATCAGAAGGACAATGGAAGTGATTCACACACGCACATACAAAGTATATCAATAGGAGGTTTTGACAAATTTATAAGACGACGATTAAGAGATTTGCATTCTTGAACTATTTCATCTTCATCATCTAGTGAACTAATATATTATCCTGTCATCTCTACATTTGTATCGTCATAAAACTCATGTTGTTTTGTGCCAATACCAGCCTTCTCAACTTTCCACCAAGGCAAATTCAAAAACCAAGAAATCAAAACATAACAAAACCTGACAGTCATGATTTACAAATTTCCGAATCACCACCATCAAAACATCACCTAAGAAGCAAGAGAAGGTCGCGCATCAGCAAAACCGACATTAGCCCGTAACACTCTTACGACAAGTGGATCCGGTCCAGCTCATGTACAACATGGGTCCCTAAAAATCCGAACTTCGTGGCCCCCACAAATGCTCTTCATGTTAAACTTGTAGTTCCCGCCCGTCCCACTGCACGCCCTCTTTAAATCGAGACCTGCACTATTTTCTAGTTAAAAACATCAACTTATATAAATTGCATGAGTTTAGAAATTATATATATATATATATATATATATATATATATATATGGTAAGTATTTGATTAGCTATATATGTGTGTACGCCTTGTTTTTTTTCTTCTCTGTCAAGATTCTAACTTTTCTATTTTCTCTATTTTTCCATTTCAATATGAAAAGGGAGCCTTCAAGATCAAACTTTGCGCAGAACATGCTGAAAAAAAGGAAAAAGAATCACAATACATTAAAACAATTGTAAAATAAATATTACATAAAATGTTTAGAGCCGAATTGATCAAAAACATGTCTGCCTGCCTGTCCTTTTCACTTGACCAAATCTTAGAGGTTACAAAGTAAGAAAGAAATAAATAAAACTAAGAGAAGAATAAAA